GAAAGACAGTCTAGACTGATGAAGTCCTCTTGGTGGATGCACAACCTGGTGAAAGGCTGTCCTGAGGAACAGGTATTAACAGCAGTAGGTATTAACAGCAAAGAGTGCTTCAACTGGGGAGCTGCAGGGATTTGCCCTGGATATGTGGCTGTCCAATTAATTATGCAGTCCTGATTAACATCTTAGAAACAGGGTTCCCATACTGTGCTGGAGCTATAGCTCAGAGTGGTAGGCAACGGCGACTGCTCTCAGCTGCAGGCAAATACAGGAGTTACCAAATGGGCACCTCCACACGGGAGCTGCCACTACCGAAGGCTTGCTTACCCTGCGGCTGAGGTCAATGCCTGCACACAGGCGATTTCCAAATCACACCCTGGACTCACTGCCTAACTGCATCCACACAGGGGCTTCCTGGAGGTCAGCAGGTTAGCAGCGCTTGGGCTTGGCAACAGGATAAGTGAGGAAGTTAAAGGGTTCAGACAGGGTTTAGATTCTACAGTGAGGGACGGGGAAGAAGGTGATGGAGGTTCGTTCTTTTCCACATAGCAGCAAACCTCCGAAAAGGTGAATGGAGGCTTCCAACCAGAGTAGCCCTTAGGTATGTACAGATCATGGCACTTTGCTGGCAGTGGGAAGCGTGGGTTTAACTCCCCTGAGATGAGAAAGGCATGTTCTATGTCAGCTCTCTTTCCTTAATTTAGTTGGAAAAAGGTGAGCTCAACCTCAGGTTGTGCTTCTGCGTCGAAGAGGCCCAGACTTCCACTTAGCATGCTGAAGTTGCCACTGCGCATCAAGCATGCAGTGAGCTCGTGCTGTGACCACTCGCTGCCAGGGTATGGCCATGCCCAGGTGCGCTCATGCACAGCATAAATGCACAGCCAGCAGGTGACACAGCTCGTCATCTGCAGCAGCAGAAGCCTGGAAGCCTGAGTAACCTTTATGATGGACGTTCAGGAACATCAGCAGTGAGCTGTGGGCTTTACAGGTCCCTTCCATGGATTTAGACATGGAAGACCTAAGGTGTACTCCATGTGCAAGTGTCCTTTTTTTGGATCTGCATATAGCTGCTGATTTGCATCTTTGGATGCTCAGTATTCTAACAACAGGGCCTTCCTTTCTTTCGTATGAACACTCCTCTTGTTTAATTAATTTACCTTTTATACTTCTGGGTTCAGAGGGTCTTCAGGAGAACAGGAGGAAGTGGGCTTCAAGGAACTGTTATAATTCCCAAAAATCATTAGCAGTCAATATGCAATATATGGGATTGGGGATCAGCAGTCAGAGCCCATCATTTCCAAGGCTGACTCAAATTCCTGCCAGCAGAGATTGATTGTCTTTCTTTTAACCATCTAATGACTGTTTTCTGGTACATGTATCATGGGTCACATACAAGTTCGCAGTGCCCACAACACAGTAGAGATTACAGAGATCTGCTGATCCTCCCTACCATCCCTTGGTGTGATCCTTCAAACAAATATTACTGCAGTGGGTTGGGGAAGGACTATTGTACAAGATGTGTCTGTTCTGTGCAAAGAATATGTGAGCCTTTGAGGCTCTCCATCCAGCATGCTAACCAAGCAATAAAACCCTTGGAGTAAGCCCAAGGTCCTGCTGTACGTGGGGCACTGTCACCACTAACACTCCTCGGGCTCTTTTCTTGCAGGTGCCTTTCTCTAACTGCAGCAGGGACTGCCTCCCGGGCACCAGGAAGGGCATTATTGAGGGAGAGCCCACCTGCTGCTTCGAGTGCGTGGACTGCCCCGACGGGGAGTACAGTGATGAAACAGGTAATACCCACAGAGCTGCTTTGGGGGTTGCAGAGGACTGTGCGAGCCCTCCTGGCATCACTTGCAGTGTGGCTGAAGTCGCTTCCCTGCAGTGATGAGCTGGAGGCTGCTCTGCCACGAGGCTTCACAGAAAGTTGGCAGGGACTTCTGAAAAACTTACAGGAGTTGAAAGCTGTGGTCCTCAGGTCCTGTCTTCTGCTAAGCCTGCTTGTCCCTTCTGCTCTGAGTTAGGAAAATTAAAGCAGAGAACTTGAAAAAGGACTTACACATAGGAAGCCTCCAGGCAGCCACAAGCAAACTCCCTTGCACTGTAGCAATAGCTTTTGTTCCTCTAAAAGCCTGGAGGAAGGAGACACTCCCTACCCTCATCCAAAGTTCTGAAGTTATCTGTCTGCTTTTCCTCATGCTGTCAGGGTTTTATTTCATGCTTTACCAAGAAATAAAGTCTATTCCATCCCTGACTTCACATCCAGAGAGGAATATTTCCCTTTATGGGGTCACCAGCCACAGCTTCTGTTGAGCACTGGCACTGCAAGAGAACAGAATCTCTGGGTCCTATCAAACACCCATGGACACCTTTTTTTTTTTTTTTTCTGGTTTCAGTGGGAGCTTGAATCAAGCTGCTCAGGTTCTGCAGTGGAGGGAAAAGGTAACCTCAGTTTTAGAGTTGGTTGAAAAATTCTGAATTTCCTTTAGTGCTCCCTCAGTGTTGGTAATAAAGGGTAATAAAGGCAAGTAAACCCCTTCAGAACAGCAGTCCCCTCCACACTGCAGAGCACTCAGGATCTCCTCACACCCTCTCCAGCAGCACTGCTCCCAGCAGATGTGGCAGACCTTGCTTGAGATGAAAACTTCAGTAAGCTGCTTGCAAGACTGAACAAGTGTACTTCTTTGGGAGACTCTTAATTTGCATCCTATCAAACAGGAACAATGATTTTTTTAGCATGAACATATAGTACTACAGGATGTTCGGGAGCAGCATTTTCAAATTAAATAGAAGCAATTCTTGTCATGTGGGTCTTTTGGCATTTTTCGCAGGATTTTGGGAGCTGGCACTGGTGTGCTGGTGAAATTTGTGGGGCTGAGGGGGCGGCTGCCTTCTGACTCCACAGTTTCCTGCTGCAATTTCATCTGGCAGTAATGCTCTTTATTTCCTGAGCTTGCCAGTTTTATAAGCATAGAGAGCAGTTTTACAACATCTCATCCAGGTGAGACAGCGATGCTACCGAAGGAGACAATCTGTCGTGTCCTCTCCCAGATGTTTGCTCCCACCCTTTGTCTGGCAGCAGTGCTGGTACTTGTGCAACCATAGAGTGAGTTGGATCGGGTCTCTGGTCTTTCTAAAACAAACTCTTGGCAGGTTGAGTTTCCAGCTAGAACGAGAGGCTGCATGACCTATAGTGCTAACACAAAGGAGGGGGCAGGAATGAGCAGCCCTGGGGGAGGAGGGAGATCTGGTTTACTCCCTTCAGTGGCAGCACGGTCCCTAAGTTGGCTCAAGACAACACTGAAAGCATTTCTTTAGGATGCAGTGCTAAGTAGCTGTCCCTGTCTCTGGTTGAATTCCCTGCTATGGGAAGTTAGCTCCGCCTTGCCTGCAGTTGGCAATAGGCTTCCCAGTAAAAGGCAGAAGCTGAATGGATGTAAATGAAATGACACGATGGTGATGGGAGCTCCTGACAGCGCTTTTGCATCTAGTGCAAGTTTTTCACATGAACAGCTTAGGTGCGACAAACCAGTCATCAGGAAAGCAGTATCATATCAGGTCACAGACGCTCCCTCCAACCACCCCTCCAGAATTAGAGAGCTTGAAATCCTCTGCCCTCATTAAGCTGGGCATTCCAGGATTTCTCGTCAAGCTCTGCTCTGGGAGCTATGCTCTGAGTCTCTGTCTGTGCTCAGGTGCAAAGCTCAGAGGGAGGTTGCTGCTAAAGGGGTTTTCTGAATGTTTGTTCCCAGAACTCACTGCAGCCTATTGCTATCCCACTGGGATCCCAAAGGACTGAGGTAGGTTATGACTTCCAGCTCACTGCTCTCAACCCCTTTCCACTGCCATCAAGGGAGTTGTGAGCCTCCCCACTGCAGCACAAGACCTATTTGGGTCAAAGAAGAAGAGCAGAAGCAGCAGGTCCTCACCTTTTGATCACGGCAGCCATTGGAGACATACACTGATATTATTAAGACACACCTTCCCCTGATGTTCCAACATGAAATGAGAGTGTGCTGGGAGTCAAGGGCATTGCCTGCCTTCAGGGAAGAGCAATTTAAACACTTCTAAGACTTGCCTCCGTGGAATATGAAACAGGCTCTCAAAGCACTTAAGGAGGCAAGCACGTTTTTAATTTTCTCTGTAATAGAGACAGGCAGGATGTTTCAAGTGATGATAAAAGTGTGAGAGGTATGAAGACAGACAGAAGTAGATGATAAAAATGAAGGAACAAGAAAGAGAGAGAGAGAGAGAGAGACAGAGCCTGTGTAACAGCCGATAGCAATCAAAGTTTGCAAAGTTTTGCCAAGAAATATATTCCAAAAACATGAGTGCAGGGACAGAACTTTTTTTAAGCTGGAACTAAGCATGCTTTGTGTTTTGCTATATAGCCCATGGGAGGCTGGTTGTTTCAGTGTAAAACGCTCTTGGACAACAACATACGATTCTGGGAATCTGCAGGCACCTGAAGGGAACACCCCATATATTTAAGGTGAAGGCTGATGTGCAGCTGCCGTGTATGTCATCACACATTTCAGCCTCTCATTCTGACAAACCTTCCCTCTCTCTGTCACTTCTTTTTCAGATGCAAGCGCCTGTGACAAGTGCCCTGAGGATTACTGGTCCAATGAGAACCACACATCCTGCATCCCCAAGCAGATAGAGTTTCTGTCTTGGACAGAGCCCTTTGGGATTGCTCTGACTCTCTTTGCTGTGCTGGGAATTTTCCTGACTTCTTTTGTCCTGGGAGTCTTCACCAAATTTCGCAACACACCCATCGTCAAGGCCACAAACCGGGAGCTGTCCTACCTCCTCCTCTTCTCCTTGCTCTGCTGCTTCTCCAGCTCATTGTTCTTCATTGGTGAGCCCCAGAATTGGACTTGCCGTCTGCGGCAGCCAGCTTTCGGCATCAGCTTTGTCCTCTGCATCTCCTGCATCCTGGTGAAAACCAACCGTGTCCTGCTTGTCTTCGAGGCAAAGATCCCCACGAGCCTCCACCGAAAGTGGTGGGGCCTCAACCTCCAGTTCCTCCTGGTCTTCTTGTGCACGTTCGTGCAGATTGTCATCTGTGTGATTTGGCTCTACACAGCCCCACCATCCAGTTACCGAAACCATGAACTGGAGGATGAGATTATCTTCATCACCTGCCACGAAGGCTCCCTGATGGCCCTCGGCTTCCTCATTGGCTACACCTGCCTCCTGGCAGCCATCTGCTTCTTCTTTGCCTTCAAGTCTCGAAAGCTGCCTGAGAACTTCAATGAGGCCAAGTTCATCACGTTCAGCATGCTGATCTTCTTCATCGTCTGGATCTCCTTCATCCCTGCATACGCCAGCACATACGGCAAGTTTGTCTCTGCCGTGGAGGTGATTGCGATACTGGCTGCCAGCTTTGGGCTCCTGGCCTGCATCTTCTTCAACAAAGTCTACATCATCCTCTTCAAGCCCTCCCGCAACACAATCGAGGAGGTGCGCTGCAGCACAGCCGCCCACGCTTTCAAAGTGGCCGCCAGGGCCACACTGAGACGGAGCAATGTGTCACGCAAGCGCTCCAACAGCCTGGGGGGCTCCACCGGCTCTACCCCTTCCTCCTCCATCAGCAGCAAGAGCAACCACGAAGACCCTTTTCCTCTCCCAGCTTCCGCCGAGCGGCAGCGCCAGCAGCAGCGTGGGTGCAAGCAAAAAGTCAGCTTTGGGAGCGGCACAGTCACCCTGTCGCTGAGCTTCGAGGAGCCGCAGAAGAACGCCATGGCCAACAGGAACACCAAGCGCAGGAACTCCCTGGAGGCCCAGAACAGCGACGACAGCCTGATGCGGCACCGGGCCCTGCTCCCTCTGCAGAACAGCGAGCCCCTCAGCATTGAGCCTGGGTTCCAGGCAGCTTCCAGCCCGGACACCAGCTCGCAGGAGTCGGTGGGGGGAGACACCAAAGAAGAGGTACCAAGCCCTGAGGCAGAGCCTTCCCTGCCATCGGCTAACTCCCGAAATTTTATAGGCGCTGGAGGTGGCTCTGTCACAGAGAACACAGTACATTCCTAACAAAAGAAGATCGTGAAAAGCACACCAGCCCCCAAGAGGAACTTGCTCACCTCTTGCTTCTGAGCGGGAAAGACAACAAAGACACACTCCTGTGGCACAGCCCCACCATACCTTACTGTTAGCACCGGCAGGGTAACACACGTGCCTCCAGAGGAAGGACTGTGTCTGGGGAGCCTTGGACTGAATTTGCGTTCGCTTTATCAAAACCAGGACATCTCAGAAGGACAAGTGAAGATCGCCTTTGGTGGGGCTTATGCAGAAGTCTGCATGCTGCCTTGCCTCTGTAAGCTTTTCCTGCCAGACTGCAACTCAGCTGACTATGGGAGGCCCTAGGCAATTCCACTATACTCTGCTTTTACATTTATGTATAATATTCCTCTTTCCCACTATGTATAATACTCCCTCTTTATCCAGTATATGTGACCTGTAACCACGTGCATCAGGACTCTCCGCTCTACAAAAGCAAGGTACACGGTTTCACTTGGGGAAGGCATGGTCGTGGGGAACACAAAAAAGCCCCCAACATCCTGCATGCTGTGTACAGCCAAGGGTGTGAACATGTAAAGTATTTAATGAGACAGAGCGCCCTGCTATTTATATTTAGTAATGTCCCAGTCTCTCCTTTCTGCCCAGCAGGAAATACCGGACAATACCCTTCATAGACTCCGTTGCACTAGACCAAGCCACTGAGTTCCTACTGGTTTCCTCCAGCTGAGGTAGCTTTACCTCCAGCCTGCCTGCTTTGGTGGAGGGGCAGAACAGCTTGCAAATCCCCCCCCCAGAGAACGTTGTGAGAGCACAATGAGATGTATCCACGATTGATTATGTTGTCGCTCGTAGTTGTACGCTTAACAAAGTGTTGCTGCTGTAATATTCCACATGGCATACATGGCTAACCCTTTCACACCATAGTCAGTGTTGTGCTTTGCCATATTAATCTGCCTCACACCTACACAGAGCATCACGCCAGTCGTGACAATACTGGTGGGCCTGATACAAAGCAGATGAAACAAGGTGAAATGGAGGAGTTAGGGATGGAGAAATAGCCCCCCAGATGTGGTAACATGATTGCAGGAGTGGGTGAATATCTGAAGTGTGTGTGCTGGTAGGTGACTGGATGAGGAAGACGTACAGGCCTGGGCTCCGAGACACGCACATGGGCAAATGGGCAAATTGGCCATGTTTTGGCTCCTATAGGCCACCTCACCTACGAGGTTATTTCCCTCCTGGCCCATCTCGAAGAGAGGGCACCTAGAACAAGAAGGGCACACTGTACCTAAAGAAAAACAGTAAGGACTTCAGCAAAGAGCATAGCACAACTTCATTTCTCTTGACACTTGTCCCACACCCCCAAAAGCAGACAGGAGTGCTCCTGGTTTTGCAAGGTATGCCTGGTTCTTCTCCATCCATGCTGGAAAGGTTGGAAGTCAGAGGGTCATTAGAAGAGATATTTATTGCAGCCTGGTAAGAGAAAAAGCACCCCTCAACGGCCTTGCAGGAGGGGGTAGGGTTACGTTGCAGAATTTATTTCCCTCTTCCCAGATCCTGGTGTGATGCAAAGATGTCAGTACCCTCCCTCATCAGACAAGAAGGTAGTCTAGACCGTTGTGGGAAGGTAGAACGGGCCTGCAGCTTCGTGCGAGCAGAGGCAAAAGGGCTGTGTGAGCGCGCTGGGGAAAATACCACAATTCTCTTGTTGCTGTTCTTGCTCGGTTGTTCTTTTGCCAGGGCAGGCAAATAAAACTTACAGGTGACATTACTGCATAAAAGCTTTGTTTTGCCACTTCCACTTGCTGCTGATGAGAGAGAGGAATTTTGGCTTAGAAGAGCACAGTGGAAGTCCAGAACCCCAAGGAGCATGCTATTACAACAAGTTATTTTAACCCTTTCGTTGATCGGTTACATTCACCTCAGAGTGGGCTTGAATTTTAATTATACCATGTGAGAACCAATCCGACTTTAACTGTAAGGCCTCCAAATTACCATATTTGATTAAAGCTATGACACAACCGGTTAAAAGGAAAAAAAAAAAGAGATTGAAAACACAAATCCCTTTGGCCACAATTTTGGAAACCACATTCTACCCCTGGGTCCAGTGGGAATTGCTCACTGCTGCTGAAAAACCAGGTCCTTTCCCCAGGCTGCTGACTGTGGCGTCTAGGCTTAATTTAGGGTACAGAATGTGGACCTGTGGTCTCCCGAGTCTAAGTGCAGAAACAGAGACGGGCACTAGATGGCGGAAAGGGCTGGAAAAAGTGCTTTGGTTATGGCCCACACTTCCAAAAATTTCAGTAGCCAAATAGTTTTAGTGCTAGTGAATCATTCCTACTGGCCAAAACCAGCACAGCAGCCCCTGAGCCTAAGCTGATGGCATTGAAAGCATGGAAGTGCTTAATGAGTGAAGTGAAAACGACACAGGTTACAAACCGAAGACTATGCACGAATGCACGCAAGGTGAGAAACACAAAGTCGCCACTGGCTGCCTTGTTTGGAGAGCAATATTCACAGCATTGAAAGCATGGAAGTGCTTAATGAGTGAAAACGACACAGGGTACAAACCGAAGACTATGCATGAACGCACTCAAGGTGAGAAACACAAAGTTGCCACTGGCTGCCTTGTTTGGAGAGCAATATTCACTGGCTATGCACGCAGCAGATAATGTTGGCATCTGGGTGGTTTTCATTCTTTGGGTGGTTTTCATTCTTGAGGTGGTTTTCGTTCTTTACATCTACTTAAAAGGAATTTGTACCCTGGCACTCAATGAGGCTCCAGCAGCTGCCATCATCTTATAGCAACAGACCAACAGTGCTCAACTTGCTGGGGAGTCCGTGTCGTCCCGTCCCCCCGCCTCCACTGAGCCCCAAGCCCCAGGCTCCACACGCTGTGCGAGAGCCGCTGCTGCAGCCTATGCGAGTGACACGCACACGTGCTAGATGCAAGGCAAGTTCAGTGAAAAAAGAACGCCCTGTGCGAAGGCGATTTGCAACTAAACCTTTATTCCCATGCACGGAGGAGGGTGCATGTATCTTGCCAAGGGCGTATCCTGCCAAATCCAGAAGAGGAAGTTTGCTCGGCCGCCTGTCCAAGAGCCTGCCTGTGTAACACGCAAGGTGATACTGATGAAGACAAGTTGGGTAACTTCCTTCTGTTGAAAGCTGAAGCTGGAGAACCTCCACTGGCATGTCCCACCAGAAGTCGCCCACGTGAACAGCTGCCCTATCCCACTCTCCCACGGCTCAAAAACCTACTGAAGAGCACGTGCCAATGTTCCCTGAACTATCCGGCAGAGAAGCAACAGCAAGCGGGGACAGAAGGAAGGAGTCTGTCTATCAACTCTGTGGTGGGATTTCCCTTGGCAAACTTGGCTGATGGGCAGGGAACTGTCCTGGTGAAGAGCCCGATCCTTCATCCCCCCCCCTCTGCTAACCCTGCAGAGCCCTGCCTGCCCAGCAGAGCACTGATCTGCTCTCCACAGAGGCGAGGAGAGGATGCCAGTGTCACCGAAGCCGGGAAATAACCTCGTAACACCAATGCAGTGTTAAAAGGCAGGCATTCTTTATTGGCAGCGCTGGGGACACGGGGGATCGCTCCACCACAATCGTGTCCGAAATGCGGTGCAAAATACAGATACATTTATACAGTTAAGTTGCGCAATTAGTTGTTCGCTTTAATACATATTCATATGTGACTCAGCAATATGATAATTAGAGCTCCTCCTTGTGGCGCTTGCGCAGTTTTTCTTTTAGGTGGTCTTCAGGGGTCTTCGGGAGGAAGTCAGACCTCCCTCTTCATCACCTCTGAATCACCTTTCTCTGGATTGCCTCAGAGTGCTCGTAATTACACCTTGACATTTACTTATCATACTTGATATTTCATTCTTATCTAAAGTGTCTACGAAATATGTGACCTAATCCCCCTTAATATTTCATCCTTATCTAAAGTGTCTACGAAATACGTGGCCTAATTCCCCTTAATATTTTATCCTTATCTAGTTTAAAACAAAGCTGCTACACTTCATTCCTTCTGCATTCCGATTGAATCAGACCCATCCTTGGTATGGGGCTACACAGAGACTGTCTTTGCAGCAAATTCGCTGTTTATAAGATAACATTTCCCCCCTTTGGAAGTTTTGAAACCATCCCCTTTTCAACACTTCCATCTCAAAATAACCAAAATTTAATTACTTAGTAAACTCGCTATATGATGGTGGGAATAGTTCATGTATATTGCTCGGACTTGATCCTTTGCTTACTGTCCGCATAATAATTCCATTGAGGGCAGTGCGTTTCGTGATTTCTGCTTTCAGGCAGTAGTACACCAGTAGGATTATTAAAAACATCGCCAACAGCAACAGCACAGTTTGTATCAGAGACTTAATCCAGGAACTCAAATTCCACCCTAGCCCCCCAAAAATTTTGTCTAGCCAATTTTCCTGCATGTCCTGTTGGATTTCTTTGGTATCTTTTTCAATTTGACCTAGCAAGCTTAAATCATGCTCCACATCCTGGGTAACATTCGGAATATGTATACAACAATGGTCAATTCTGTCTCTTAAATATCCACATACCCCATGTTCCTTTAACAGGAGCATGTCTAAGGCCATTCTATTCTGCAAGGTCATTCTGGATGTCGCCTGCAATTGCAAATTTAATTGTCTAAAACCCTTTCTGGTCACCTTGGCTAACTTTTCTACTTGGCCGGTTAATCTATCTAACCATGCCCTATTTCTGTAAGTGGATAGGGGAGTCAATAAAGACTCTAGAGCCCATCCAATTTTTATTCCTGTTGAGGGTTCATTCCACTCATCTTCATCAATCTGCGATCTTTTGGTCCGAATCAATCTTAAATTTTCCAAGTCTCCTTTGAAAGGGGACTTCTTCCAAACTGGGCACAGAGTCGGCATT